AGTCGGTCAGGAGGTGCGTGTGGGCAGGGGTGCTGTACCTGCACGCTGTGGTAGGTTACAGCTCTTTGTCCGTGGGAGTCTGCAGGGGACGTCATGCTGCTCTGCTTAACAAGCTGAAGACAGGGCTCCTGCACCACAGTACCCTCAGACAGAAGCCTCATCTTGTCTGACCCCATGCCAGCAGGTAGGGGATGGGGTGGCTTCCTTAAGAGACTGGTGTAAAGTCCTGGTGTGTTACTAGATAGGAGTTCGTGGAAAACTGTGATCCAGTTTTCTTGACTAGAAAGGAATTACTAAGAGTCTATTCCTGTACTGAAATAACAGGAATTGCTGGCATAAAAAGTATTTCCATTGTTTTAGTGTTGTCTGACTTGTTCATATGTTAACCTGGCACCTCATGGTTTGGATGGTTCTGTGAATACAAACTGTTTTTGTGATACAGAATTTCAGTAAAGCCTACACTAACACATGGAGAGCACTTCACTGATGATGAAATAGTATGTGGCCTTATGTACAGCAGCTGACATGGCTGATGGACAAGAAAAGGGCCTTTGTTAGCTGTAACTTAGAAACATCTAAATACAATGAATCCAAAGCTCACAGTATCTTCCATGCAGACTTAGTGAGCTCATTCTAGGAAAAATCTTGTTAGACGTTTTTTGAGCTTGAAATTGGTTGAAAGTTCAGCTTCTTCTGGTTGTGGAGGCCTCTAGGCGGTGTAGTATGGCATCCAAGTGTGGGTGTCTTCTAAAGCTGTGCTCTTTCCTAGGCAGTTTTCTGTATATCTGAAAAGCATGGCAATGCTTTTCACTTTAATCATTTGCTTTTCATTTTCAATCTGAAATCCTTCTCTTGGTTTCCTCCCTGCCCCCCCATGTCCTGTTTACTGATGGGCAGAAAGGGTTAACTCCTTGTGTAAAGACTGAAGTTTCTAAATGAAGACTGGAATATTTTTCTTTTAATGGGGAGTGAATAAACCTGGCTTTGGAGGAAGTGTGGCCTGGCCTAGCTTAAAGAACTAGAGTAAGCTTCCACTATCCTCCCTTCTAGGAGTAGTGATTAAAGTCCTGTATGTACCTAAAGATCCCCCGTAACTAACACCGTGTGCAGTTTTGTTGCTTATTCATTGAGAACGTGTGGAGTCTCTGGATAGACATGCTGACAAAAAGTAGTATTTAACATCAGCAATAGTATTCTGTGTTCATATGCACTGCAACTGGGATGTCTAGGTTAATTCTGTTGTTCAGTAAAGCTTTTTTTAAAGCTTTGTGTGCTGCTTAGATATGAAGAGGAAAAACCTGTCATGTTTCACTTACAAAAGCCAAAGCGTCTATGAACTGACTCCTTTAAAGGAAAGTGAACATGACAGCTAACTAAGTATGGTCTGTTTCCTACCACACCTTTTCAGAAACTGTCTAGCTTCTGAAGGATGGCTAGTTTCATTTAGTACTACTCTTAGTCCATCTCACATTCCCACTAGTGGATGGAAGGAGCAGTACATCTGCAGGTTTCTAACACTGTGGTTTTGAGATGGATGACTGGTGTGAATTTTACCATGACTGGGTTATGGGATGGAACTTGCCTTTGATAGCTGAAGTTGATATGGTATATAAACTATTAACAAGCTGATATTGCGAAAGTCCAAAAAAGCTGGAGTTTCTCTTTTCACACTGACTGCCTCTCCTGTTTGAGGCAAATGAGATCCTGAAAACCTGCAGCTTGAGATGCAGATAATAGTTTTAGAAGTGGTCTCTGCTGTCAGTTCAATCAGTTGAACCTTCCGTCTGTTTTTGCTAGCTCCCTATTGTTAAACTAAAAATGATGTATTAACCAGGTTAGCACTCAGCTTATGATTGACAGAGTTAATCCAAGTTCAAGGGCGGCTTGCTATGTGCTGAAAATCATGTTTACAAGCGAGGTGGTTGATTACAGCAGTAAATATCCAGGACAGCTTTAGAGTGATGGACTTCTTACACCATTATCCTTGATCAATAGCCTCCATTTTGAGGCTACCTCAGCATTACCTGGTGCTGGGGATCTCCTCCTATGCTAGAGCCTTTTGTCATCTCTTTTCACCTACTTGGCCCTTAAGAAATTGAGGCCTGTTACCTATCCATTTGCTGAACGCAGGATGTGTTGTGCTGGAGGATAATAGACGCAAAATGAGATCCTACATGTGCTCAGTGAGATTTGTAGTTAAATGTTTATCCAGTACTATCCAGAAGTTTCCCCTGATAAGATGCTACTTGAAGAAAATGGTGGTAACAAAGCTGTGTGAGCTCCTCTAGCTGTGTGTCTAAATGGGCTTGTGGAATGAAGTTCACTTTCTACTACCAAAGATTTCTCTTTCTATATGAAGACTTGTCTCTTCACAAACCTACCACAAAAAACAACTGTGGAAGTAAACCAGAAAAGCCAGTTAGTTTATATTTCTGCCAATTCTGTCTTTTCCAGAAGTATTAAGCTCTTAGGGAGAAGTGCTGGCACCTCCCCATGTTTGATATCTCTAACTTGTGAGGCTAAGCCTTTGGACCCTGCATCTCTCTTCAGTCTAACTCCAGCAATTTTAGCTAATACTGGAAATGTAGGTTAAAACCTGACAGAGATCCCTGGAGGCAGCAGCCAGGGATCTGAGCAGTGGTGTGTGGTCTGTGATAACCTGTAGTTATTTTCTCCCTTCCCTTATTCTGTGCAGTAGTAACCTGCAATGTGTGGCCGTAGCACAAACACATTAGAGGGCTGGACTTCCTCTTGCAGGATAACATAGTTGTGCAGCTTGACAGAAGATTTCAGGGTAGGAAGAGAATGGTCTAATTCCTAGGTGCAGGAGGCAGCACTAGTAAAGAGCTGATGTTAGAATGCAGAGGTATGGGAGGTTGCACTGGAACCAAGATGTGGGGTTTGAATGGTGTGTTGGAGGCAGGCTTGACTGATGAACTTGTTGAAGGAGCTGCAGGGAGCAGCATAGATTGCTGCATAGG